TCGATGACCGGCTAAACTTCAACAGCCACGTCGAATATGCCTGTGAGAAGGCTTCGAAGGCCATCAACGCGATAGCTAGAATCATGCCGAACAACGCTGGTCCCAGCAGTAGCAAAAGGCGTCTTCTGGCCAGCGTGTCATCATCGATACTGAGATATGGAGGTCCAGCCTGGGTTCCAGCGCTGGAAACGAAGCAGAACCAAAGGAAACTGAGCAGTACGTTCCGGCTCATGGCCATGCGAGTCGTGAGTGCGTACAGAACCAACTCGTCGGAAGCAGTATGCGTTATCGCCGGTATGATCCCTATCGGCATCACCCTGGCGGAGGACAGCGAGTGCTACAGGCAGAGAGAAGCCGGAAGAGTACGGAAAGTTGTGAGAGTGGAGTCATTGGCTAAGTGGCAACAGGAGTGGAACACGACGGAGAACGGTAGATGGACACATAGACTAATACCGATTCTTTCGACCTGGGTGAACAGAAAACACGGAGAAGTCAATTTCCACCTAACGCAGTTCCTGTCTGGCCACGGCTGCTTCAGGAAATACCTGCACCGGTTCGGACACGCAGCGTCACCCCTCTGTCCGGAGTGTGGCAACGTCGATGAAACGCCGGAGCATGTGGTCTTTGACTGTCCAAGGTTCGAGGCAGTGCGAACGGAGATGCCCGTCCTTAACGTGGAGAATGTCGTTGATGAAATGTGTCGAGAGGAGGACTCTTGGAATGCCGTCAGCAGGGCAGTCACACAGATTATGTCAGAGCTGCAGCGTAAATGGAGAGAAGAGCAGCGATCTAGCAACGCCAGCTAGCGCTGAGAGTACGACAAGTGCATGAGCACAGCCACCCCCCGAAGTAGTCGCTTCACAGTGGTCCCGGGGGGATCCAGGCAGAGGAGAGAGTAAGGAATGGGTTTTAGTGGAGCTGCACTAGGCAACTAGTGGATACCACACCGTGCCACCTTCACTACAGGCCAGGCTTCTTGAAGCTTTCCTAAACCTTACTATAAAAAAAAAAAAAAAAAAAAAAAAACACACACACACACACACACGCAGACACACACACACACACACACGCACACACACAGACACAGACAAACAGACACGCAGACACACACACACACACGCACACACACAGACACAGACAAACAGACACGCACACACACACACACACACACACACACACACACACACACACACACACACACACACATACACACACACACACGCACGCACACACACACACACACACACACACACACACACACACACACACACACACACACACACACACACACACACACACACCTGTGTGAAGGACTTCTACCATCGGAACAGGTGGTCAGTAGTGCTAATCTTAGTAGGTCTTAATGACCCTTACTGACACTAATTGAAGGGATTTCATACACACAAAATCACGGCCTCCCTGTTCGGTAATTTTTTACTGGGTTTTTGAACAGCTGAAAAAGTCAGTAAACTTAAAAAAATTGTAAAAAATTGTATAAAAGTGATTTTTTCTTGAAATTTATACAGACTGTGTTCTTATTACATTTATTTGATGATAAAAATAAAATATGTTAAAATTGTTCGTTGCATTACGTGTGACCGTTATTTTCAGTTTACTGACTTTTTCAGCTGTTTGAAAACCCAGTAAAAAATTACTGACCCCAGTAAAATAATCTCTGTGTGTAGAAGTTTTGCCGAAATTGTTAAAGCTCAGTGATTTTGGTAAAAGTTCTAGGAATTTGATAAAAACTCAGCTCAGGTTTGAGGAAGTTCATCATACTTCTTAAAAACTTAAGGGTTTGATTTGGTAACTTATAATTTTGGAATCTTTGTTTTGCCCGAATGTTTAGGAAAATTTCTAGAAATATTTTTCCTGAAGTTTAGAGAAAGTCAAGTATGATATGAGATAAATTAGAAAAAAAAAATATGTTGCTTGGAAATGTTGTCGAAACTTTAAAAAAATTAAGAATAATTTCAAGAAGTGAGGGACTTTGTAGATGTTCAAGGAACATTAGAACGAGTTTCCGCCCCTCGAGGTCTTGTTGTGTGGAAAATGCCCCCTTCACCACCTGTAGAGTACGGTGCTGCTCATCGTGCAGCATCGATAAAGTGCAAATGTTTTGCAACGTAACACATCAACTAGTTAATACCTGTTAATACACTATTTGAAACAACGTCATCAACGTCAGGGGCGGGCGAATCGTTATTTCAGACATATTTATATTTTATAGGGCGCAGATCAATTGGGTGCGACTACTTAGCTAAAAATTTGCTTTTCGCTAATCTTCCTCGAACTTCTATGGACTTCACAAAAAAATCAGTACCTCCATTTCCAAGTACTCTACATTTTTAAAATGATCTGGAAATTATTCTGATATTACTATAACTTCCCTGAAGATCCCACAATGTCCCTGAAGTTTTCGGAACATTCCAGAAATTGTCGGAATATTCCATAATTCCTCGGAACTCCTTGAAAGTTTCTGGGACTGCTCCGTAGCTCTCTCATCATCATCCTCGAAGTACTCGGAACTGCCCTGAATATAATGAAACTACCTAAATATCATATCTCAGCGAAGCCGACAGCCTGGCAGGGTCTGGACCAGCTGGCCCCCGTTACACCGACGAAGTGCCACTACAGGACATAAAGCGATGGATAGTCAGCAAAATGGGGGAAGCCTGGGAAGCAGAGTGGTGCCAATCCCAATCCCTCTTCATCCGAAGAATCAAAGGAACGACGAGCAAGTGGACGGATATGTCGAAACTACGGGACCAGAAGGTGGTTTCTCGTCTTAGGACAGTCCATATAAGGATCTCACATAGTTTTGGTGGGACGCAGTTCCACAGAATGTGCTACGTTTGCGGAACCACTGCATCGGTGGAACACATCCTATGCCTGTGTCCGCAATACCAACAACTACGGGAGCAGTACGCACTTCCCAACAGCATTAGGGACATACTGGGCGACTAACCTTCCACTTTAGCGACAGTTATTTATTTCCTCAAGGACGCTGGGTTATACAACAACATTTAGGTCCTTTTAACTTTCTTTTGACTGACGGTACATCTCTACCGGACGGGGGATTACCCCTCCTACGGCGGAGCTCCGATTTCTTTCAAAACCCTACCTAACTTTGATGTTCCAGATTGTTTTTTTTTTCTCGTTGCCTGTATTGTTAGTCTTTTTACAGGAATCTGATTTAATTGCTTCTATTTGAGTACATGTGAATTGTAAGCCAACTCCGTAACAAAATTTGCTGGCAGAACCCCCCTCTGGGGCCTCCCATTTTATAGAAATGAACTAGCCAACGGCTAAAAATCTCTCTAATAAAGTTTAAAAAAATATATGATCTCTGAAATAATCTAGACTTTCTGTGGGAGATAACAGAACTTTTTGAGAAATCTCGCTGTTTTCTTGAAATTAACTTTCCAGCGCGCAATAAACACACTATTGAAACATGATTTTGATCAGCAATTTGAGAGCATTGAGCATTTTTGACCATACATTTCAGTAGTTGCTACTCCGTGATTGACCAGAATTAGCGAAATATGCACAAAGAACCATATGAATGGGGCTTGGGACTAGCAATCCATTCTCAGTGAATCCTTATTTTTTAGGTCAATTACGGTGCCGGCCACGTCCTTACGGTCATCGGGGAAGGAAAGGATTGTGATTTCAACAACCGTTGTTACTAGAGACCGAGTATACCTCCACATCTCCACGGTTGTCACGGGAAGGACGTTTTTGTTAGTAGGAAGGGTAAGTTAGATCTGGATTCGCATTGGGAAGTGATGCGACCTTTTGAAGCCTGCTAAGCAAATGACGCGACGCTGTTGACCATATCAACTCAGTAATGTAATTAGGCTTGGTTTTTAACCCATGATCTTCTACTCATTAAGCAAAAACGGTTGCTCTATAGCCACCGTGCCCCTTACATTACCACAATCTACGACCGACTTAACAAAAAGCTATGCAAATGCAGCGACGTTTCTGAAAGCAGCCAACAATGTCGTCCAAACTAGATCACGCATACACCTTTCCCGAAACTCATGGTTTAAACAATTCAATTATTGTTTATTAACTGTTCCCGCAGCTTGTTTATGAAACTTCTGGGAAATTCTCGGCATTCCTTTCATTCCTCAGAACGTTTTTAAAATTCCTACAATTTTTGAGAAGATAATGAGGCTGCCCTGAAAATCTCTCATCTTTCCTGAAGTTCTCTCAATTCTTCTGATCATTTTCCTGGGAATGTCTTGAAAGATCAACAATTCTTTTCCCTCAGCACTTCCATAAATATCTTACATTTCTGTGAAGCTCTCGATTTTTTCTTAAGTTCACTAAATTTCCCTCAAGTTCTTTGGACTATCCTTAAATTATCGGAAATTCTTGAAGGTTCCCCCTATTTTCCTAAAATCATGTAACTGCCCTGAAGTTCACTGAAATGATCTTGCAGTTTTTCTGGAACTGCACTCAAGCTCGTTGGTCTTCATGAAGTGAAATTTCCAAACGTCTTTGGTACTTCCTGAAGCTATCAGATTATATTAAATTGTTTTTGAACTTCAATTAAGTTATCACAACGTTTTAAAGGCTTACGAATTTTGTCTCATGTTAATGGAACTATGTATGATATATTATTAACTATATATTTTTTTCAAGCGTTTGTTTTTGAATTTGGAATATTTTCATTCCACGTTTAAAAGCATAGGAGAAATCTGGATGAAGATTGGACATTTCTCATGTTGTATGTTTGCAGCGCAATTTTGCGCATATTAATCTGAATGGTCGTCCCTTATGCACTTTTGGTGCGCACAAGAAGCGCATGTGCATCGTAGATCGACATTTCGGTGCCCAGTTAATATTGACTGAAAAAAATAATAATAATAATAACAATCGATTTTCTGAGTAGCCATGAGTAACCACCATGACAGGCCTACTGCGTATTGTTCTCAAAGTTCTGGACAAAGTTATGATGAATAGTTTTCAGTTGAATGAAATTATTTCACTAATGGGTGATCATTTGTTTATTGTACGACTATTCTTATATCTATTAGTGCACAACTAATCGCGAAGTTAATTGCGAGTAGTCGAAGTTGAACTTCTAGTGTTTCCTTTTCGTGAACTTCTTTTGTTTGCACTGCTGCCTCGCCCTTCCGATTCCTTCTCGCGATGAGCCCTGCCGGTTTCCATGATTGATTCAACGAGTGCAACACATTCGTTCATTAGAAATTGAGCGGCTTTAGAGCAGCAGATCTCTTCTCGATTTAGGACCATCGCATTCACGTAGATCAACATAACGTCTCGCTGATATTCGGCCGTTGTTCTGACGGTTCCGTTTTCGATGTTCTTTTTTATGGTGGAAAGATCCATCGGACGATATATGATGTCCGATATTTGTTCTTCGGGTAGAGGCTTCATGAATGCTGTTGCTTGCCGAAGCGAAGAAATTTTCGAATGTATGGAAATAATCGACTTCTTCCACGCTCGATAGTCTCGATCTTCACTTGAAGCTGGAGAGCTAGGAATAGAATCCATAACTGGTGTTGAAGAATAGCTCCGTTTCATCTTGTCGCTTGCGTCATCATCCAGTATGACAAACGGGCTTATTGAACGATCGCGATCACGAAGCTTTCGTAGACTTCTTACTTCGGATTCTTCGTTTTTTGGAGTACTCAAATGCTCGTCCTTAGGCTTGCATAGTTCATCTACGGTACGACGTCTCGAGTAGTCTCGTTTGGTTTTAGAAATTTTCATTTCAATCAAGGAATCATCATCAGTGTCGGTGATTGTCACGACAGTGTCTTCGTGCTTTTTCTGCTCTATTTCTTTTGAGCCCTCTGTTTCTTCGAGGTTTTCCTGGGCGTCCATATAAACGTCTTCTTCAGGAACGTGCTTTTCTTCCTTTGATTTCTGAATAGACAATGGAACAATCGGTTCCTCGTCGTCCTTAAAATCATATTCAGCAGCTAATTTTTCCAACGCTTCCTTTTTTGCTCGAGCAGCTTCCTCTTCACTTGTCAGCGCTGTAGCGCTTTGCTGTAACTTATTTTCAACCGCAGATGCGACAGATTTTTCATCACTTAAACCAGATTCGAAGTATTCTTCTTCTTCTTCTTCAACTTCTTGTTTGATATCCACAGTTTCCTCTGATTTAATAACCAATGCCACCGTGTCAGGTGCGCTGGTATCCAGTGGTGCAAGCAGCTTATCTGCAGAATCATCTTCAGATTCCGTTTTAATGATGATTGCTTCCTCTTGTTTAACTGAATGTAAGCCTACCGTTTCATCCTTTTCTTTATTTTCAACGCTAGATGGAGTTGAACCAGAAGAGCTTCCACTGCTGTCTTCTATCGGAATAATATCTTTTAACTCATCGGTCACTGGTTTAATTCCTTCCTCTATCAGCTCCTCCTTGATCGCCAAAACTTGGTTTCCTGTAGCAATAAAAATACAAATTTAAATTGTTTGTAAGCAAAATTAAAAATTATGACTATTATCCTACCTCCAGCAACTGTCTCCTGAGTATCTTCTTTCTTTTCCGAAACATTGACATCGACAGCGCTTGAAATCTCGTCTGCTTTGACCAGATTTGAATCCTCTTCAAATACAGAGACTTGCTGAGGAGATGGCGCTGCTGCCGCCGGTTTCAAAAAAGGGCCCTTTGCTACCTCAGGAGTAGATTCCTCGTTTTTTGAACCATTTGCTTTTTGATCATCATCCTGACCGTCCACAATGCTGCTATTCAGAAGATTGGCTTGCTCTAGAGCCTCCAAATCTTTTCCTTTCAGATGCCCTTCTTCTTCCTCCTCCTCTTCCATGATCGAATCAACAACGTTTTCAAGAATTTCATCTTCGAGAATCATGCTACTATTTTCGTTGAGTATTTCATCAAGCTCTTCGGGCATTAATTCTTGGAAAACAGCCATCAAATCTTTAGCTGGATCTGCATTATCAGGATCTGTATCCATATCTTCAGATTTAATCACACTTTCGACCAGTTTCTGTGACTCCTGGACATCATGAGAAGCAGAAGCTTTGTTTTTCATTGGATTATCCAGAAGCTTTGTTAGATTTGGAGCCACCTGATAGGCACTAGATTCTCCAATGTTCAATTTAGTTTCGTCCTGTAAAACGCTTTGATTTCCCTCCTTTTGCTGTGCTGATTCGGTTCCAGTAACCGGAAATAGGTTTTTAGCATAAATGTTCATTGTTGTTGGTGAATTTCCAGTGAGTAGATTTGTAATTGTAGGAGAGGCTGCAGATCTACTGCTTCCCGATGATGGTAGCCCTTGGCTACCGGAGGGATTTGCCGACGGACTCTTTAGTAAAGATGTTAGCAAGGGAGATGTGCCGGATTTTGAAGAGCTTTGGCTATCTTCATCGATCTCTTCTTTGATCTTTACACTAGATCCAAGTACTTTTGAAGAATTGGGTGAGTTTGGAAATAATGGTCTCCACTGACGTTCTAGTTCCAGCTTTTTTTCCTCCCTCTCTTTCAACCATTGAGCATGTAGGATTTGCTCTTTCTCCTTCTGAGCTTTTTCCATTTGAATTTGCTTCCACATTTCTCTTAACTTTTTCTCGTCTGTTACGCCACTTTGTATCAAAATAATATCCTCCTTCACCTTGGTGTACTGCTGAGCCTCTTCTTGGATGATCTTTTTCAGCTCGATGATTCTTTCTTGTGTCAGCTTCCGCAAAATGGACTCTCCAGGTGTTTCTACGGCAGCTACTCCATCCCTCTCGGAAGCGGTACGCTTTTTGCGCTTCGGTGTTTCGACATTCTCCAGTAACTTCCCATATTGAGCGGCGCAAGATTTCTGCGAGAACCAATCAGCCGGCCGGTTGGCACCACAAAGCATCTTCAACGAACGGCTTACGGACATCCAATTTTGATCTCCGCTACATGCCACTGCCGATGCTAGGCAAAGCTTTTCCTTCGTTGACCATTTATCAAGCGGAACGCGTTTTAGCTGAAGCCGCTCCTGAATCGATGCCATGTTACTTATTGATGTTCCTGTAGGAGTGTACACAATGTGTTTATTTTTACCGTAGTTTTACGCTTAAAAATACCTCTGTTTAATCTGCTTCAATCATCACTTTTTTTGAGAAACGAAAATGGTATAATATTCTTCCAGAAACATTAAATCCAACCCGACAATATCTATAGTCGCTATATTCATAGTCTGGCGGATAGAATCTTGGGAACCAATTGAGCTGTCAAATAGCGGAACCAATCGAGCAAATCACGACCAACAACAGAAATGAGCACATCAGCTGTTGCGAACAAAATTTCGGAAATTATTTTCTCGTGACTAAAGGCTCACCTACACAAACTAACACCATTTTAGGTTGTAGAAAGTTTCCCCTATCCGATGATGCTGGTTATTTACCTTCGATTGGCGAGGAAAGAATAATCAACGTTTTGTTTATAAAAGTTGATAGTACCTTTTCAATTGTTGGTCTACAATATATTGAAATGGTTCGGCTTTTTGATAAATCGCATTTCTATCCGCCAGACTATGAATATAGCGACTATAGACAATATCTACCTTTTTTTTAAAGAAATTACACCATCAACATGAAAACAAACTCTTCACATCACCCGTCAGACTCGAAGTACTATAGAGTCAATGAGCTGGATTACCAAGGTGAAGTAATCGGTTAAGTTGTGTGAGTAAAACCCCTGTACGATACAAGCAATTAGTGACGTCACTACTTGCGTTACCATATTTCACGATCTGCTTCACCTCTCTCTGTAGTTCATTGCTATAGAGTGCTTTGTTACACCGTTACACGAAAAAACGCGTCTATGCATTAATGGATTTTTTTAACCACTTTTAGATCTTGTTCGAGTTGTCATAAAGTGGTTAAAATTTATAGTTGAAAAGTGCATAACATGTAGACAGTTTCCGAGCAAGTAGAGAGCCAATTGGGTTCTTTAGTTTTGAAAAATATATTGGTTTTTATATATCATCTGAAAGAGCATCGTTTTCTGAGAACAGCGATATTTTTTGGAACCCACACACTTTCATCTCGATTTTTAAATCAAGATTTAAAGCAAAATAATAAGGTGATTTTTGCAAATGTAATCGTTCTTATTTAAAATAGTTCCAGTGTACCAAAATTGATGAAATGTTGGGTTTGGGTTCCATTTTTAATGCAAATTACGAATATGCATTTACCTCAATACCCGTAAAGAATCCAATTTAAAATCGTTAGTTTCCACCGGTTGGTACTACAAACAATCAATACGAAACTAACGATTTTATATTGGCTCACTACTTGACTAGCCTATTGGTCCCAAGTAAATCGACTAACGTACCCCATTCTAGTATAAATTCCAGTACTTCACTATGTTTCTTTTGATTCAGTATGAAAGTTTGTTAGATAAAATGAGGGGTTAGCTAGGGGGTTAGTGGATTTTCCTATGTTTCGAGGGGTGAATCGATTAGCTTGGGACAGAAGATAGTACCAGCAACAATCAATTCGAAACTAATGATTTTAAAATGGCTCACTACTTTACTACCCAAATCGATTAACGTATCCCATTCTAGTATAAATTCCAGTTCTACACTATTTTTGTTTTGATTCGCTATGAAAGCTTGACAGATAAAATGAGGGATTCATGGTTTTTCTTTTGTTTCGAGCGAGGTTTCGAGGGGTGCATCGATTAGCTTGGGACCGAAGATAGTACCAGAGCTGAGTCATGGTTACCTCTGGTACCATAGAGCTGGTACTATCATAGAGGTAACTCTAAGACCACTGGGTCCCGAAGAAAATCATTATTATTTTTGGCTCACTCAGTACCAGAACAACGGTCCCAAGCAGTCCCAAGCTATTTCACTCACCCCTGCATGTTCTGCATGAATCCACACACCCCTGATGTTATCTGTCAAACTTTCATAGCGAATCAAAACAAACATAGTGTAGTAATAGAATTTCAACTAGAATAGGGTACGTTAATCGTTTGCTTGGGACCAATAGGCTACTAAAGTGGTGAGCCAATTTAAAATCGTTAGTTTCGTATTGATTGTTGGTACTATCTTCGGTCCCAAGCTAATCGATTCACCCCTCGAAACAAAGGAAAGTCCACAAGCCCCTAATTTTATCTGTCAAACTTTCATAGCGAATCAAAACAAACATAGTGTAGTGCTGGAATTTATACCAGAATGGGGTATTTTAATCGATTTGCTTGGGACCAATAGGCTAGTCATGTAGTGAGCCAATTTTAAATCGTTAGTTTCGTATTGATTGTTTCTTTAACCAACAATCAAACGAAACTATCTATTTTAAATTGGCTCACTACTTTACTACCCGCATAAACGCAAACCATCACTTGACCTTACCGATAATGGTTATAAATTGTTTATAATCCCTCCTAAACTTTAACTGAAATTGTTTTGGAACCTTACATGAACGTTTGTGTGATAACGTTTTAACCTTATGTATTATGGTTTTTAGGAAGCGGACCTTACAAATAATGGGTCGTTAAGAACCATTACCATTCCAAATTCTTGTTTTCGCCTCGGTTTCCGCCATACATTTTCGGAAAGAGAACTATATTAGAACGTTTTTACTTATGGTTTGAGAACATTAATGATTATGGTTATGGTAGTCAGTAAGGTCCATTAATCGTTTTGTATTATCGCTCAACTTTATACCCCGTTCACATTACAGCCTATATCACGTAATATAGGCTGTCTTGCAATGAGCACTCATACATAGGATTTCCAGTGAAAACTAGATGTATGAGTGCTCATTGCAAGACAGCGTATATCACGTGATATACGCTGTAGTGTGAACGGGGTATTACGTGGAATATATCGCGAACTGATAATTATTAATTTACAGGCAACCAATTCGCGATATATTCCACATAAAGTTGATCGATGTTACAAAGCCATTCATGGGCCTTACTGACTACCATAACCATAACCATTAATGTTCTCAAACCATAAGTAAAAACGTTCTAATATAGTTCTTTTCCGAAAATGTATGGAGAAAACAAGAATTTGAAATGGTAATGGTTCTTAACAACCCATTATTTGTAAGGTCCGCTTCCTAAAAACCATAATACATAAGGTTAAAACTTTATCACACAAACGTTCATGTAAGGTTCCAAAACCATTTCAGTTAAAGTTAAGGAGGGATTATAAACAATTTATAACCATTATCGGTAAGGTCAATTTATGGTTCGCGTTTATGCGGGTAGCCTTCACTGATAAAATTTCAAATATTGTTTTTATGTGACCCACACATGAATTTTTGCAATGTGATAAACAAATGATATCTATATGTCGGACACATACTCAATATGTGTACACATAAAAGCCATGTGTAACCCTCGGTGTAACCACACATACTATTCCTTTGACTCATAAATTCCATGTGTGCTTCTGGGTGGATTCTGTTTATGTGTGGTCGAGTGTGTGGTCACATGAAAATCATGTGGAATTTGGCATGGAAATTCGTCAATAAAAATGTGTGGAATTCTATTAGTGTATTGGTCCCAAGCAAATCGATTAACGTACCCCATTCTAGTTGAAATTCTAGTACTACACAATGTTTGTTTTGATTTGCCATGAAAGTTTGACAGATAAAATGAGGGGTTCGTGGATTTTCCTCTGGTTCGAGGGGTACATCGATTAGCTTGGGACCGAAGATAGTACCAGAACTGAGCCAAAAACTTGAACACTTTTCTCCGGGACCTACTAGTCTTAGAGTTACCTCTATGCTATAACTCGATGGTCCCTTCAATCGAGCCTTCAATCACCGACAAACGGACATGAAACTTAAACCTCGACTTAAACTTAACTCTTGATCGAGAATCCATAACGGTGGTTTCAAATGTGCAGCGATCCTATCTGTCAAAACCATAGAAATTTCTGATGAATGTGGGCGTCTTAGTGGAATACCTGTATAATGACTCATATACTCGAGTATTAGTACAAGACACTGAAGAAGTCTGCACATTGTAGACGAAATACGCGTATCTGTCAAGGATAAGCAAATAAAGTAGTGGAATTAAATGGAAAATACTAATCCTTCTCTCTCTCATTATACATAGAAATTTGTTATCTAGATAAAAATAATTTGCACGGAATAGATTAGACACGAACCAACTTATACATTTTGTATGCGTGTTTGTGGCTAGGATACACAATTTTCGCGAACACGGCGGCAGATGTCAGTTTTGTGCTTTGATCATAAATTTGATGATACTTTGTATGATTCTTCATGTCGGTTTGTCGGTGCTTCACTATCAAATTGTAGAAATCTTTCTGTACACATAAAATTTATGTTTTCAATATCAGTAAAACGGATTGCTGGATCATGATCAGCAATCCAATGCGTTGCTGAAAAACAGCAAACGATATTTTACCGATTTACAACGATTTAAATTTAATGTGCAGGTAGATTTTAACTTTTTATCCCCCACTGTAAAGGGCCACCCACATTAGATCCGTTTGCATTGCGTTGAAGTAAATTTGACATTCAGACAATAGATTTAGCTGTCACTTTGCCGCAACGCGTCCGATCCGGATCTTATGTGCGTGAGCTTTAACAATCAAATTAATTTAAAGTACTTAATTCGCAAAATCAGTGTCAACATTTCAAAGGGGCGTAATTGCTTTTGTAAGCAATGACTTTAGCCGTCAATTTCTCGCGAATGATATCTTACCTCTCCAAAATTACAATGCTAGCTGGTAGCGGAAACATTCCTCTACCTGGTGGTGTTATTATTTTTCATGAGTGAGCTTTTATTTGCGAGAAATCTATGGCTAAAGCCATTGTTTACAAATGCAATTACGCCCCTTTGAAATGTTTTCACTGAAATATTGGACTTTTGAAATTTTTCTCCATAACTCTCGCCATGCAATATTTTTAAATCTGCATCATGCCTTTTTTGAAGATGCCAAGTTTTAAACGCCTATACCTCGAGGTATATATACAGTTTAGACCTTTTTGACGTCTATCTAGCACACATGGATAAATACACGGTTTTTTTTTCCACTAATCTGTTTTCCTCTTGCTCGCACTCGTTCGATTTAAATGGCGCGCCGATTAAACGTCAAAAAGCTCTATTCCAATGCTGGGAATTTATTCCTGGTGCGGTTGTATTTCAGGCAATCGTAAAAAAAGCTCCAGATTCTCTGTTTCGTCGCATTCGGTGTACCTGTCGGTTTCATTTTAAACATCGATTTTCTTTCTTTTGTTGTCATGCCCCTCCACGGATTTCATTGTTGTTGGATTTGAATTAATTTTGCCACCTGGGACTACCAGATGACAGCCAAAAGTGACGTATTGATGGCGTCAGAAATCGATCAAATCTCGACGAAATAAACGTGCAAATCTCGCCTGGCCTCGCCGTTTTCTCATCGATTGCTACAGAAACTTTCGAAACTTCTACGGCGCGTTGACATTCTTCAGGAAATTTTGCAGGAAAAATGTGTTAGAAAAACGGTGCTAAAGCTTGATAATTTATGCGATAATTGTGGTACCAGTAGTAAGGTGATCGAAAAAAGTATTTTGGCATTGTTTGAGGACCTAAATCTAACCAAAATCGGCTTGAAAAAGTGCTACTGCGTGAAAATCTGCAAAGGGTAGTTTTCGGCATAAGGAGGCGTGCAAAGAAGACGGCAAGAGTCGGAAGAAGAAACACTTCGTCGAGTTTACAGAATCTGTAATCGGATCAGCAAAAATACCGTTCTTCGAGTGTTGCTACTGGTGCCTAGAGGAAGGCAATATTATTTAGGATTTTTTATGTGATTATTGTATGCGTAGAAAGGCATAATCAATGGAACGACCAACCGCCGAAGCAGTTTTGCAAAGCGTCTTCACACTGTACAACAATCCCAATAAGCAGGAGAAAGAGGCAGCCTCCAAGTGGTTGGAAGAGTTTCAGAAATCAGTGAGTATGCGTGTGTTTAATTGGAAGTAGGAAATTTACCAGTAAGATCTATTTAATTCCGCAGATTCATTCCTGGGAAATTGCGGATCAACTCTTACAAAGGAAACATGACCTCAATTCGTGTACATTTGCGGCACAGACGATGCGAAACAAGATCCAGAACAGCTTTCATGAACTACCTGAATCTTCTCACGAATCCTTAAGGCAAAGTTTGCTGGAACACATAAGTCACATTACGCTGGAAACGAAACCGGTAATAGTAACTCAGCTGTCTTTGGCGTTAGCCGATCTAGTTCTGCTTATGTCATCATGGCGCAAACCTGTGGTCACATTACTGGAACGTTTCTCGAGCAATCCAAACATGATGTACGCGGTCATCGAACTACTCACGTTGATTCCGGAAGAAATCAACTCACGATATTTACGGCTTGGTGCCAACCGGAGGAAGGACGTCTTAACTGAGTTGGAAAACGATTCAAATCTAGTCGGTGATTACCTGCTAATGTGTTTGATGAACTGCAATGAAAATGAATTGCTGCAAATGAAGATTTTAAAGTGTTTCACCTCATGGGTGAATATTAATGCCTTTAAGTTGTCACAGATTGGTGACAACATGATAATAGCGTACTGTTTTCAACTATTGACGAACACCAACGCCAAACCAGAAATTCATGACGCTGCCACCGATTGCCTGTGTGGTCTGCTTCAGTGCTTGGAAATGAATAACAACGGAGATGGATTGGACGTTAAGTTGTTCAATGGAATTCTGAGCTTGGACGAAGCTTACAACATTTCAGTTGCACAAGAAGACTTGGATAAGTCGATGAACCTTTGCCGTCTCTTCACCGTACTGGTTGAAAGTAATCTCGTGAGAATGGTAGCCGGTTCCGAGGCAGCAACGCCACATTATTCAATCAAAGCTTTGGAACTGGTCCTGATATGCGTTGGACATTACGATTTTGAGGTAGCCGAAATTACCTTTAATATGTGGTATCGACTGAGTGAAGATCTCTACCAGAGAAACAATGAAGCTCTGACAGCTCATTTCAAGCCGTACGTGGAGCGACTGATTGCTGCTCTGTATAAGCACTGTCAAATGGAAGCCGATCATGAGGGGTTGATTGAGGAAGGCGACACGTTCAAGGTAATTTCCTCCAGACGGCGATCGATTGAATACTCACCATTTTTTTTCTTGTTTCAATTGATGACAGGAGTTCCGGTTTAAAGTGTCCGAGATTATTAAAGACGTAATTTTCATAGTTAGCTCGATAAGCTGCTTCAAGCAGATGTTCCTGATTCTGCAGAGTCCGAATGTGACGTGGGAATCCAGTGAAGCGGCGCTGTTTATAATGGAAAATGTGGCGCGGAATATTCTACCGTAAGTGTTCTTGCTTTGCCTTATGTAGGAGAACGATCATAAATTTAGGGTAGCGATCTTACGATGGGTTGTCATATAAATCGTTCCTACATTCATGATCGCTTCAACGTTGATACCAACTGTCTTATGATGCGAAGAAATGCTTGCTCACCGGACCGGATGTATGATTTTCTTTTTTGTTTGAATTTTATTATTTTGATAGTTTAATCTCAATTCTGGCGCAACTGCTTCCTAGTTAAAAGAATAGGCTATCTCCCAGGTATTGCATTGGGGATTTAGAAAGTATTTGATTCAAACTCGAGTTCCAATTGCGGGAAAAGTTTTGTTTTATGTCTGTCTGTCTCCTAGATCTGTTTGTGTTAAGAGGTCCGTTTTAAATCAAGCACCTGTTTCATTCCCATTCAGGGTCACATGCTAAAATATTTCAATTGTTGTTACATTTAAAGGGGTAATTCACCTTGGTAAGGGTGCGTCCTCTTACAATTAAGCGGTTTGCATGCCCAGTTTATTTACTGCCAGGATATCCAGTTCATGACCGGTTTTGCGGTTGATTTGAAATGGATAACAAAGTCCAAAACTACTTAAGTTCTTAAGGTGGAGCAATTTTGTGACAATTTGCGTGTTGCTTATGTCGTTGGATATTGGCATCCGGTGTAAAATCATTTGACATGAAGTTTTACATTTATTGCTTTATCAATCAAGACGAACAATTGCTTAGGCCCTAAGTAACATTGACAATTTCTCTTCGTCGACTTCCTTTTTGTATTTCCACGGCCTTGTAAAGACATTCCCAGCTATTTTCAATACAAAGTTCGATAAAAGAAGCTATTATCTAGCTTCTAATACGACTAACACAATAAGAAAGAGAAAACCCTATGAAGAGAATCGATCAATGTTACTTAGTACATTATGCATTGTTCGGGTTGAATTACTGTTGTTGGTTTTCCAACGAAGAGAAAGTAGACTCCGAACGTTTAACGATTTATTGAGGATACGTTAAAATTTCCTGGAATGATTTATGCCGTTGAAATTACAGTTCTTAGCTTCTAGTAGTATAATATCTTACGTTTTGTAATTCTCCGTCGTTGTAACCCGGTAACGAAACTGTTTTATAAGAAACTGGCCAACTCCTGAACCGAGTCCTGAACGGGGTGATAGTTCGAGTTAGCTGTATATAATTATGTTCATGACTCACAATTTACCGTATTAGAAACAACGAAATTAGGTTTCAATTTAGAGGCTCGATCGTTTACCCAATCAACTTAACCTACAACTTTCTAGAAAGGAAAATGAGTTCAGTTTTACTTCAACGCTTCGCAAATTATTGTTGCTTTAACTCACGCAACTACAAATAGCAACTTAGATTTAAGCACAGATAATATAGATAACAATTTCATTAATTTTAAACTAAATCCAAAGAATAATTTTAGGTAATCGCGACATCGTGTCACATGGTTTCACTTGTTCTTAAATGACAATTATTTTCCCGTACCGTCCCTATCGGCATTCAACAACTGTCAGCCGAGCCAAGGCAAGTAAAGGTTGGAGTTTCTTTAGCTGGTGAGAAGGTGCGTTGCTACACGAGGGGTGTCGCAACAGTCCCCCCCAGTGGTTGGACCCTGGTCCCGATCACTCTTGTCTGCACCGACGTCCAGCACTGCCAGGCGAACTGCCGGGCGCTCGTACATACCTGAAGCCGTCCGTACCGTCGCCGATCGTACTTGACCATCCTTGGATACCTTCGTGTTGACTACCCTGCCTTTGGGCCAGCAATTTCTCGGGAAACTTGGGTCCACGATAATCACGATGTCTCCTATCTGGATCTGTCGACCGGCCGAAAGCCATTTAGTTCTTCTAGTAATTTCAGGGAGGTACTCCGCCAACCACTTCTTCCAAAACATATTGGCTAGGACTTGTGATGATTTCCAAGCACTTCGGAGAGCTAAGCCGCTATCATCGTGGAGTACTAGGGGTTTCGAACCATCGGTAGAGCCCAGCAGAAAGCTATTCGGGGTAAGAGCCGGGGCAGCCTCGCTGTCAACTGGTACATAGGTCAGAGGGCGCGAGTTGATGATGTTCTCAATCATCACAAGAGAGTTCCTGAGTACTTCGTCTGTTGGCAGCCGTTGAGTTGGAAGTATGCTGGTCAAAATCTTCTTTACTGATTGTATCAGTCTCTCCCAGCTTCCTCCCATATGAGGAGAAGCAGGTGGGTTAAACGACCATTTGAGGTTCTCGGTCGTAAACTCTTTCATCAGCCGCTCTTGATCTACCTGTGCTAAAGCTTCCTTCAGCTCTTTACTCGCACCGACCAGGTTGGTTCCTCGATCACTAACAATCTCGATTGGAGATCCCCGTCGCGCTATGATGTTTTGCAGGCACATTATACAGGAGTCTGTCGTCAACGAATGAGCCAGCTCGATATGCACAGCTCGAGTGGTCAGACACGTAGCTAGCACGCCCCAGCGCTTCTCAACACGGCGACCGATTACTACCTGCATCGGGCCGAAATAGTCAATGCCCACGTAAGAGAAAGGCCTAACAAATGCCGCGAGTCGAGTTTTCGGTAAATCGGCCATTGAAGGAGGCTGTGGTTTAGCAGTCATGATTTTACATTTCTGGCAATTTCGACGAGTTTTGTTGAGAACTACCCGCAAACGAGGAATGTAATATCTTCGCCGTATTTCGTTCAGCACGGTCTGGTGGCATTGGTGATGGAATTCCTCATGAACTTTTTGAACGACCAGTGATGTGATATAGTGCTCTCGAGGAAGGATGACAGGATGCTTCGTAGACTCATCAATTAAATCGCAAGCGCTAATGCGACCACGCATACGCATCACCCCAGCACTATCGAGATATGGTTCCACTTTATACAGAGAGTTACCTTTAGGTAGAATCCGCGTACCAAGAGCCGGTCCAGGTTTCGCAAGCAGCTTCCGTTCCTCACTGTAGATGTCCTCTTGAGCTCGGCGATAGATATAACTGGCAGCGTCGTTCAATTCATCAGCACTCAATGGACCAGTATCAGGTTGTTCGGCAGCTATCTTTTTCCGGAGATTCCTGGGAAACCGCATTACGAACGCCACAGCATGAAGCAAACGTTTCCAACATGAAAAGTCTGTTGGAGTAAGAACCCAATCATCAACGTCACGGTGGTGTAGCAAGTTTTGACGGTTTTGACGGAGCTCCTCTTTGGTGGATTCTAAAGCTGGGAGCTTCGGCCAGTTTTCTTCCGGTTGCAGCAAAAATTCAGGGCCGTTGAACCACCGACTATCATAATCAAGGCTTGGTGCACGCTTCCACTTCGTGGCTTCGTCGGCAACGTTCAATTTCGTAGGCACCCATCGCCATTCAGCAACATCCGTGGTCTCCAACAGCTCACTTACACGGAAAGCGACGAACTGGCTATATCGTCGATGGTCGGAATTCAGCCAGCATAAGACGTCACGAGCGTCTGTCCAGAAGAATCGCTTGGTGATGTTGTACGAGTGGCCTTGTTCTACGGCTTTTGCCAATCGGGCGCCGATGACCCCTGCCTGCAGTTCTAAGCGGGGTATGGATACAAACTTGAGCGGTGCGACACGACTTTTGGCTCCGATCAATGAGCATTCGATTTGATCATCCTCTTCAAACCGGAAATAACACACAGCAGCGTAACCGTTCTCGCTTGCGTCCACGAATATGTGGAGTTGAACGGAGGAATGTACCGACGTCTTCTGGCGGTAGCAGCGAGGAATCCGCAAATTTTCAAGCTTCGGTAGAAACTGCAACCAGATCTTCCACTTCTCCCATTCACGTTCCGCAATGCACTCGTCCCAGCTTACTCCAGACCGCCAAACTTCTTGCAAGAGCATCTTCAAAAACATCAAATAGTTTGCGATGAGCCCAAGTGGGTCGTAGACGCTCATCATCGTTCGCAGTAGCTCCCGCTTAGTTGGGCGTCTCGTTCCAGAGAGAATGTCCATGTTACGTTCCAGGAACAGCTTGTATGAGAAGACATCCGAGTTCGTCGACCACCACATGCCAAGAACCTTCTCGTTGGCGACGTCTACCGCCGTGTCTAAGTTCTTTTCAGCAACTTCTACTGCACCAAGAGCCGTGAGAACGTCACGCGAATTAGAAACCCAGTTAGTCATTTCAAACCCAGCGCGAGAGTGGATCTCTCTAACTTCCTTCGCTAGCTCGATTGCTTCCTCCACGTTCTGGACGCTCGTGTACATGTCGTCAACGTAATGCGATTTTACGATTGCATCCACCGCAGTCGGAAACTGACGCCGGAAGCGCTCCGCGTTTTCGTTTTTAACGAATTGGGCTAGGCTGGGTGAGCACGTCGCCCCGAAGGACATAACCATCAAGACGTATACGTCGGGGTTGTTTTGATCCTTACCGCTGCTCCACAGGAATCGATGACATTGTTGGTCTGCCTCATTCATCAGCACCTGGTGGAACATCTCACGTACGTCTCCTCCCATGGCCACCAGGTACTGTCGGAACTTGTAGAGTACCGCTGGGAGCTCCGTGAGCTGGTCTGGACCCTTCATTAATACGGAGTTTAGGGAGATGCCGTTTACAGTAGCGGCAGCGTCCCAAACGATTCTCAGTTTGCCAGGCTTATTGGGGTTGAACACCGGAAATATTGGCAGATACCAAATCCGATCGTACGATTGCGTCAGTTCTTCGGGTGTCAACTTTCGTGCGTATCCTTTGCGCAAATAATCCTCCATTTTTGCTCTAAGTGCTGCGCCAAGCTGGGGTTCTCTGGCCATCCTGCGTTCTAAACACTGCCATCTTTTAATCGCCATCGTCTTGTTGTCGGGTAGCCTTACGTCGTCATATTTCCAGAGAAGCCCTGTTTGGTAGCGCCCATTCCGTGGAGTGGTAATGGAACGCATCATGGACCAGGCGCGCTCATCCTCACTGGAAACGATCAGTTTGTCCGGCTTTGTAATTCCAATGCTATCAAGAGCGAAGAAACTTTTCACAGCTCTATGTAGATC